ATATACATGTAAATTAAAAGTGTTTGTAGAATGGGGTCTTACGTTATTACCTTTTACAAATATATGAAGATTATGAAAATTAATTGAATAAGAGATTAAAAACCTATTTAAGTCAATTTTAAAACTGTAGATATTAGGATTTTCTGCAGTGCAGTGTTATACATTTCAGCACTTCGAGCTTTTTAAGTCCTCAGCAATTTTGGCCGATAAAGGTATAAATGAGGACTGCGGCAACTGCAGCAAGTCAGGATGAAGGCCAGAAGTCACTGTCCATCCACCCTTAGGAGTAAACTGGCAATGCTGCTTAGACTTCTCATTTGAGAGCTTGCCGAAGATTCATGGGAAAAAGGAATGCAATCTAACACCTGTGCTTCATTCAACTGTATTGGAGGTTATGAGAGGTAAGAATACATGAAGACATCAGACGTCTGATAAATATATGAAAAATTATTCTTATATTTTGTAAGTTTTAGTGTTGAGAGAAATTAGACAAGACTGTTTGCATCCTGATCTGTAATACAGAATAGAATGCCATAAAAGAGTCATTTTATTGAAAAACGTTGAAGAGTTGTTTTAAAACGAGAAATTCATCTCAGTTTGTATTTTCTTTATAGACTTCAACATGTGGTGACCGTGTGTGAAGAATGGCAAAGGATTTAAAGCTTGAATCATGGAAAAGATAAGTTATTCCAGATAACTTAGGAAGAAGAACAATAAAAATGACACACTCTTTCCTTGCAGACAGAAAGAATTTTGTGAAAATAATCAACCAGTGGTAAATTAACAGCTAATTGTTTCGTTGAATTGACTTTTAAACATTGGTTTTGTCTTTCTTTTTTTATTTGTTAATTCAACTGTGACAGTCACATTATTATGTAGATGTATGAAGAAAAATCAAGTTTTGGTACAGTATTTTTTATCTTTTTATTTCATGTGAATTTAAGGCAAGGCATAACATTTTCAAATGTAAAATTTTTTTAGTCATTGAATTTTAAAGAACTTGTAAATAAATGATTTATAATTTGTATAATTTCATTTTTTTTTAATTGTTAAGTTTGTAAAAGTCTGAAACAACAATAGCTGATGTACACAGTGATAGGCAGATTATGTAACCATTAATGCAAAATCCCTCTAACCATTAAGGCGGAATACGCCTTGCTAGTAAGGCGGAATACGCCTATCTTAAGTAAGGCGGAATACGCCTTGCTAGTAAGGCGGAATATGCCTATCCTAAGTAAGGCGGAATACGCCTTGCCATTAATGCGGAATACGCCTTGCAGGTAAGGCGGAATTTGCCTTGAAAGTAATCCATATTAGGAAAGGCGGAATACGCCTTAACTCATTTAAATATTTCGAGCCCTATTCCGCCCTGATTCCACCTGGACTCCGTCTAATAGTCTTATTAAGTTCTTTATAGATAAAGGTGGATTCCGTCTTTTGATTTCCGCCTAAGGTCAGGGCGTAAATTTTCGTACAGGTAGGATTTAACTAGTTAGTTTTTGTTATGATCTGTCTCAGTTTGACGCTTTTTAATCACTAAAACAGAGAAAAATTTCAAACACTTAAGAGATGTCTGGTGGCTAAAATGTGGTTTTTTAAAAATTGACAGAAACCTGTCGATAGAAAGCAAGGTATGATGTTTTTTTCTTTGTTCTTAAACCATGTTTTGTTGTAATCAGAAATGTAGTTGTCTTCTAGTAATATATGTACAATCGATGAAAAGTGAATCTTATGGGCAAATACAAAATCCCACTGACAAATCTAATAAAAGATACTGAGAGACAACAGTTTGGGTAAACAGGTCTGTAACAGTTAATTTGTGACCAAACTGTTACTTCTTGAGCATGTTGAATGAAATAACAAAGAAAACCAGATTTGGTTAACATGAGTACAATGTGAAGTAATACTTATCCATGCCTCATCGCACACAAGGTGTGTACAGTTACTCAAACAATGGAAATACATCTTTTCCTTAAAAGTGTTCAAACGCAGCATTGTTAAGGAGGGATTCTTCTCTTAAGAACACTTATTTCTTATATTTAAAAATCAATGAAATTTTCACAGAATCAAGAAGACAATATCACTAAGTGATGGTATTAGTTAGATTAAATTTGACCGTTTTATATTAGAGGCAAGGTCAGGTCAAGGTCAGTACCTTTCCCCTGGACATTAAGAATAAAAAATTACTGTTGCCAATCATGCGATGCCTACTTCTATTTCAATAAATTAAATATTTTTCTTTTTTCATAAAGAGATATTACGGTAACCATATAGGATCTATTAGATGATATTACCAAATTGACATAAATAATTTAACTAAAATGGATATTGGCTAATCCGAATTTTCTCTATTTTTCTTAAAATTTTAAGATATTTTAGTTGTTTTTATATGCTTCCTATATTTAAATTTTTCTTATTTTCACATATGGTAAAGTTGTCACATAAAGATACAAAATGATATAAAAACAAAAAGTTTTGACCGTTTACTAAGAGAGAAAAAACACTTTTTACGGATTTTTGGCTCAAATCTGAACTTAGATTGGAAGTTTTAAAAGCTAACATAATTGTAGTTTGTTTCGAAAATCATATTTATTTGATATATTTTAAAACTTTAGTCCCTTATTATTAATTTAATTTACATTTAAAAATTTTCTCCAAGTCTTTGATTGTGTAAAAATTATAACTAAATTCATTGTTCTATAATTATTTTGAGAGGCAGAAAAGAAGATATTTTCATATGCCGTCATTCCGCAAAAAATATAGTCCCGCTAGATTTCAAACTCAGCTTACCATTTCTATTTAAAGTTGTACAATTGTGATGAGGAAAGAAAAATATCATCTTTTAAATCTCTTACATCTAAAAATATAAAACATATAAGCAAATATACTTTGAATACTTCATCTAGTCAGAAACCAGACAAGAATCCCTCTTTAAAACTACTTCTGCTTTAGATTGTTTTTTAAACAATACCTAGAATAAATATTAATAGACATTTACTAGCGATTTTTTGTCTTTTTAAATAAAAAGCAAAATTATGAAAAGTTACCTTGAAATAGCTAAATAAAGCTACCTGAAGTAGATAAATAAAGCTACGGTAGGTAATTTTAGCTACGTAGCTAAATGTACTGATTTTACTGGACGGGATAATGAATGACTAAAAACAAAAAAAAAAAAATAAACAGAAAACAAAAACAATTTTTTTTACCACTACAGACAAAAATTCGCACATGCATAGTAAGGCAGTCAGGCAGGTTGGATCATGGATGATCGGATAGCTCATTTGGTAGAGTGCCTGACTAATGAATAAAGAGGCCTGGGTATGAATCCCATTTTGGCTCCTTTCCTGTTATGTTTGGTGCTTTGTCATGCTCTAGAAATGATAGGTGAAAGATCTGCCAGGGTAGAGCTTAGGTTGGTTTCTTCTGCATACATGTATGTGACAGAGTTGAACAACGAGATCTGAAATTTTTCAGCTGGAGTTTGGGTCTCAAATTCACCAATTTTTAGTTCGCAAAAGACTATTCCACCATCTAAATTTAGGGAAAATAACCTTTAAAAATTTCTCTGTCCTCAGTATCAAATAAAAAAAAATGAAAAATTGAAGAATTTCACCCTCTCACATTTTATTACTTTAAAAATTTTATTCTATGAAATTGTTGTCTTTTTTTTTTTTTTTTTTTTTTTTAAAGTATAATTATATGTATGATAACGTTTTCAATCAAGTGAAGTTAAATTTGGTATTCAAAATAAATAAGCTCATTTAAATTAAGAAATAATAGCATTAAAAATCTTGATTAAAATTTACTCCTAATTTGGTACTACATGTAATGTATCAATGTATTAGTGTAGTAAAACCTAGGTTTTATATTTGTACCAAATTATATGTTAGTATATAAGTTTCTTTTTAAATAGAAATGTTATCAATTGTCAAATATGCACTCAGCACAGATATTTAAGCTGAAAGTAATTTAATTTTACTCTGTTCAAAATACAACAAGTTAGGGTCCGGAATATTTTTGAGAGTTTTAGCAACACCCTGTAGTGTGATCTTTTTAACTAGAAATGTGACAATTATTTTTCAATGACCACTGCAGCATTAAAAAATGGCATAAGAAAAGTTTAGCAACTAATTACAATGTTCTGCATTCAGTAATAAAGTAATAACATCGGTGGTCATTTACCAAGTGTTATATCACTTATTTGTACAACCTTATTATACGACCTCATGTATATTCCTACAAAGCCTTCTGCTGAAAAATTTATTGCAAGGGAGTTGTTATCTCAATTTCTTTTCATACTGAGTAATTATATGAAACGTGATAACAATTAAGTCAAATAATATTTAATGTGAAGATTTTCAGAACACAGTGATTTAAAAATTATTACGAAGGAGAGAAAGGGGGTTGAGAAATGAGATTTTGTCTCCCGCTGGAAGAAACACATGTATGCTTCTGGGGTTAACAAGGGAAGAATGTGGTTGTCAGGCAGGTTCAAATGTGGGTGGCAAAAAAACGTAGCTCATTTGGCTGCAACCCAGACTAGTGATTCAAGGGAGCTGGGTTGAAATCCTGGTTTGGTCCCATTTTCTCTACAATACTGAGTATTATGTAATATTATTCACATATACAACTGAGGAAATTTACAACCAATCAATATTCATTACTGCCATGCTGCAAATTTCCGTAACAATTACAAATATACATATATAGTAACTAATGTGATAAGTTGCCTCAAAGACAGGAAGCTATGTTTAATCTGTTACCCTGAAATATGAGTAAGGATTTGATTCTTTTATCATTTTATGTCAGGGATTATGGTATAGCCAGTGCGTGTATGTAATAATTATGGTTATAGCCAGTATGTAATAATTATGGTTAGCCAATAGCCAGTATGTAATAATTATGGTTATAGCCAGTATGTAATAATTATGGTTAGCCAATAGCCAGTATGTAATAATTATGGTTATAGCCAGTATGTAATAATTCATGTTGTTTTTCAGCCCAAGGGATTGTCTATGAGACCTGTAAATGTAGAGAACAAAGGGCAGATCTCCTCTCTGTTGGGTAAATGTTTTTTAGTTTTTCTTGACTACTCAGTCTCTTCTGAACAGATGTTATTTACAAATAGCTTTTAAAATGCACATTCATTACGGCCAAAAACAGAATATGTTTTTTCTGCTTTCCTGACTGACCTTTATAACATATAGTGCCAATTGACCATAATTTTTTGTAATGCTTAATTTTCAGTAATATATGAATATTCAGTTTTTAGCTCACGTTATGAAATTGTCTACAGTACTACTTCTTTTGTCAGCAGTCTTATTTAGATATTTTGTGTGTAGTTAATGAATTCAAGAAAAAAAAAATTATGCTGAAAGGGGAAACAAACATTTTTTTAAGGCTATACATGAAGTAAAAACAGGCATCAGATCTTTCACCAACAAAAAAAAAAAATGCCAGTGTGAGAATTTAAGGCTTAGTTCATAAAGATCTAGATCTTCATAAACTATTTAAAATGGAAGAGTTTTACTTCTCATAACATTTCTTTCCACTTCTTAGTATCTAGGACTGGGACGATACAACTTTTTCTGTATATCGATACGTATCACGATATTTGAGCCACAATGCGATATGTATCACGATATGTTGAATTGGTTATAAAATCTTTTTTTTGTACTGAAATGAACAAAACATTTCTGCACAAATACATGTAGGAATAATTTATTCAAAAAAGTTGTATCTTGTAAAACAAAATTATTTTACACAAGTGGTGTTAATTATAATGAATTTCATATTTATTATGTTTTTCATGTTTATATTTAACATATTTATATATTAAACTCAAGATGGTAAGTAAACATGGTAAACAAAGAAAAACATAAGTCAGAATATTTTTTGGGATATTTCGATATTTCTTCATATGTATCGATATGCGTATCGTCCTCACACAGAATTTATATTATCGATATCTCGATATATCATCCCAGCCCTATTAGAATCAACCAGAATTGAACTTAATAAAGTAAAAGTTTTTCTATAATGTATATTCAAAATCTGTAGATCTCGCTTAACATAAATCACTTTTTATTCGCCAGAATTTTTTCGCGTAATTACGCGTGACCGTCTGCTCAGGAAAATTTTGTTCTCATGTTTAATTTCATTAGTATAGCTTATACCCAGCATTAACCAGAATTCATGAAAATTTTGTCCGCTTATAAGTATCAAGTACCTATCTTGCTAAAATAAGGTCTTGCGAAAGTTTGTGATCTACAGTATTCCCAAATTTCTTAAATTCTTACTCAATAGTTCAATTTCTTGATTTAAAATTTTTTCATTTTTAGCGTAACAGTAACAAAATAACTTTTATTATTGATTAATCACAAAGTAATGTGGTTAACAGTGAAGTGTAATAATACGTCAGTATATCAATGCATTGTTATACAGAGGAGGTGATACAGTGCATCAGTACAAAATATAAAGAAACAATTTTTTTTCTATACATTCACTAAATGTCCTATTTTTTTTTCACTTTGTTTTCTTTTTTTAAGGTAAGATGAAGTTAGAGCCCCAAAAGAAAGCCAAGCCTGCTGTTGTCTGTCGTGCTTCAGTACAAGGTCCCAAATCTACTGGCCGGTCATCTGATCTTAGTCTCCCTCCCAAGTCAATTGAGTCCCAACCCCAGACACCAGAAGACCTGCCCCCTGAACTTCCTCCTAAAACAAAGAGATCATGTATGTAGAAATGCAAACTTCCATTTCACTACAAACATGTAATGTATTTTGAATAAACTGGTTACATATAATTAAGTTTGAAAGTGCATATCAATTTGATAACTAGACAAATTGTTTGCATTGGGTTTTTGAATGAAACTAATTTTAATTATAAACATCAAACTTTGATAAATAATATTAAAAGTCAAGGTTACTGACATTTTTTTTAGTTGTGTTGACATTTTTGCTCAGAAATCATCATTTGTTAAAACAATGTTATGTTCATTATATTGGTGACGGTAAGATTTCAAACGTGCCAAGTTTGCTTGCACTCTCCGTACAATTCAGTATCAGTGATTCATTTTCTGTATTGTGCCATAATTATTCAGTGTACTCAGAAGTGTATTTAGCTCCTTATATAGTAAGATGCAAAAAAATCCAGATTTTTCTGTGCAGATCTTTCACATCCATATTTATTTAAATATATAACTTTCAAGCATCATTTTCTTATCTTAAAATAAAAGGGCTACTTTTAGAGTTATTCCTCTTGTTTCTATGCGATGTCATGTGATGATGCTTTTCGCATACAACATATCTTCGGGTTACAGCCATGTTAGAAATTGACAACAGAAAACGTCTCCTAAATCTATATGAAATCGGGATCACTTTGGCGCAAAAATTGTGTGAAATAACAAACATACTAGGTCTACTGTATATGATAATTTGAAAAGATTTCAGAAGGGAAGTCCGAGATACAGTGTCCAGGATCTGGTCGAAAGAAAATTTTTGAGGTGAATGACAGCAGACGAGCTGCACAACTTGCTGCTTCTCATCTGCAATGGTCAGCACAGCAAATTGCCAATGAATGTGCAAGAAGAGGATCAGTTTTAGTTTCAAAATGGACTATGGGTCGGACTTCGGTTGCAGTAATTATTTTAATTTGGTGCCTCAAAAGGTGCCACTAATGACTGCAGAACATAAGCGTAAATATAAAAGAGAGGCATGGTGCATCGTTCATCATAATGACAATTTTGACAATGTGATTTTTATGGATGAAAGTCGATTTCAGTTCTACAGATGTACCTGAAAATTTGGACATTGTCAAAAAATGGTGCTGAAGTTCTCACCAGCTGTTACAGTATGGGTTGGAATAAGCAAGTTGGGTTTAACTCCGTTTGTTTCTGTGAGTGGAAATATTTCCGCAGTGAAGTACTGTCAAATTTTGGAGGAGGGGTTGTTGTCGTCCAATATAATGTTTTACAACAGGACAATGCTAGACTGCACACCGCAAGCTATACCTGTGACTGGTTTACACAGAATCATGTGACTGTAATGGACTGGCCTGCTGCTTCACCAGATTTAAATCTGATAGAAAACAGGGCTCGACATTAACTTGCCCGCTTGTCTGGTACCAGTGAAAAAAAATACGGAGAAGTGAATATTGCTTGGCACTTGTCCGATTGGACAAGTGCATTTTTAATTAATGTAAAGAAGTCTTTAAATAATAAAAAGAACGACTGTTGAAAGTTCATCGGTAAAGATGGAAGCAGTACATCAAAAACGAACTTTGATCCCGATGTGAATTGCTATGTTATTGCTATGTTCACACTCGATCGGGAGCGAAGTTCACTAATTGCACACTACTGCAAAGGCATGAAAGTTACGTTGAGTTACGAAGTTTAGATTCTGTTTGATGTTGACAGTTTCATTTCTGTTGTTGTCAGGATAGAATTAGTCTACATAAAATTTTGTTTTTATGTGTTTTTTGTATTTATAGATAACATCACTAATCAATCACATGTAATGGACTTTATTTTAGTTTTCAAGTTGACAGTATTAGACCTTTATTGAACAATTTTTGGACAAGTGAAGTTGAAGTTCGGACAAGTAAATGTCTTGGTCACTTGTCTGAATGGACAAGTAGGGAAAAAAGTTAATGTCAGGGCCTGGAAAATGTTTGGCAGATCATGAAAGATCGTGAGGAATAAATTCAGCCAGATAAAATCACAGACTGGAAAGTTACAATCATGGAAACATGGATGGGTTTGGATCAGAACTATATAGACAGTCTGGTAGAGAGTATGCAATGGTGCATCGCTCAGTGTATAGTGAGACACAGGGGTCTGACTGACTATTAACGTCATGCATTGTAAATTCAGTGGTTCAATATTCATTGATTTGCTACCATTTGAAAATATTGTTGCAAAAATAAAAAAAAAATTACTTCAGTTGAAATTCGGATTTTTTTGCACTTTATTATATTTAGTTTATACAGTTGCATTTATTTTGGACCATCACGTCATGCATTTTATGGAAGGGATAATGATCAAACTTTAATTCTGCATTTATTTTGGACCATCACACCAGAGATTATGATCTAACTTGAATTCTGTCTGAATTTTTTAGTGTCCTTCTCCATTCCAAATTTTGATGAAAATCACGATGAGAAGCAGAGGGAGATAGAGGGCATTGAGGAGGAGCTGGCCAGGGACTTGTTTAAATCCCCGACATACGCCAGAGATATATATAGTTACTTACAGGTAAATAAATCTTCAATGTATACCAGAAGTATATAGGGTAAACTGATCGTAAGTCGAACATGACCGCGAGTCGAACGCATTTTAAACCTCACCTACACCTTTTGATAAACAATAAATAGTAGGCAACTCTTGATTATCTGTCTTCTTTTTTATCCATTTAATCAATTAGAGTTATCTTTTCTAAGTCGAACTCTTCTGTAAATAGTTCTAGGTGCCGGGAAATTTGAAGGTGATTTCTCCAAATTTTCTGTTGTAAATGAATTATATCCATGTTGTTTCTAAGCTCCAAACATTTACCAAATAAGCTAATCAATACTTTAAAAGACAGATTTATACCAATCAATATTTTTAAAAGCTGTTTTTATATGATTTTGGATACATAATTCGCAAAATAATTAACCAAAGCTCATTGAATTAATATCGAAAAATGATATGGAGTCGAACACCGAAAATGTTCGCAAGTCGATCGGTGTTCGACACTAGAAACAACGATAAAAATACCGCAATTTATACAAGAGAGAATAAAAGCTTTATAAGATTTATAAAAATTATAATATTATAGAAGAAAATGAATCAACTCTTTCCATTAAAAAAACAAAAACAAAAAACAAAAAAACAAACAAAACAAACAAACAAAAACAAACAAACGAACGAACAAACAAACCTGTGCCACCAGTACTTTAATTATTCCATGATTCAGACCACAATTTACTTGATCATTTTAACTGTAAACATCTAGTCGTAATATAGCAAATTTAGATGTAGGCTATCTATTTTGGCAATTACGTCTAAAAACAAGTTTTAAACTTTGTGCAAAAATCCTTATGCTGGGGAAAGGAGTTTTCTTTTCTTTTTATCAACAAATTTGTGAGTTGGATTTTTTATTTAATGTAGTGCCCCCTCCTCTCTCTGGAAAAAAAAATCCTGGGTCTGCGCCTGCCAATGTTTTCAGTGCTCTCCAGAGCCCAATACATGTGGGTTCTTAATGCTTTATCCATTTACCACGACAGTGAAAAGACAAACAAAAATGAATATTTAATTAAGAAGATCTGACGCTCTGCAAGCACGAAGTATATTTTCGAACATAATATTTTACTGTAAATTTAGTAATTTAGTTTGAAAATGTTCATTGAAAAGTCTAGCTGCAACCCCTCCCCTAATTTTTTGCAGCACGGTAAAATCGCCCCTTTTTATGTAGCCAAAAAGCTTATTGTTGAAACAGTTGGACCCCCTCCCCCCCCCCCCCCCCCCCAACTGCATAGAATTTTCGAGATTGGATAATTACTTCTTTGTTTTTGCTGGCTCATGGCGCAGTCTTCACAACAATTTTTTTCAACACATGCCCGTTGGGCATCTCATCTACTACTTTTACCAAGTTTACATGCCCTACTCAAAATTTAACTTCATGAAATAAAAATAAAATGCTGTCTTTACAGTGTATGAACCATTGTTTATACAAGAATGGACCAACAACCAAAAATTTCCAAGAATGAAAAATATTCTTTTGGGTGGTCAAGAACATAAACTTTTTATTGCTGGAATGCATTTCCGAAAATTTTGCAATGTATAGTAGTTTATCATTATGGAAAAACCTGCATGCAGTTTTTAACATACTGAATTTGGATTCCATGTGAAAATCCTACAGTGTAATTACAGATTGTGTACAAAATGTGGCATGATTATCTCGTGCATTTCAACAACAGTAGAAAGACGACAGGGATTAGTTAGTTACGCTTCATTGCATATGACACCTGTGAAATTGATTTCAAATGTGTATGCACTTCTTTGGTCAACTTATTTAGTATATATACTCGTCTGTTTTAATGATACTGTTACATTAGGTAATAAAAAATAAATTTCACCTATTTTCTTGACTACTGACGGCATATTTATTTGGTACATTAAATACATTTATAAACGGCTGTTAAAAAAGGTCAGTGAATCTACAATAAATAATAAATATACCAAAATGTGGTAATCATTGCTATTTTTGAAGAAATCTGAATTTAATAAACGAGTATTGAACAATTGAACATGTTGAAAAAGAGGGTGCGGGGTAACGATAACTTCTGACGTAAATGTAATTTCTTTTTATTTTATTTACCAAGGTATTTTACTAAACTACTATTCAAATTTTCACACAAAAAAAATCAAGAAATGCCAATTAAAAACAAAAAAAGGAAAAGGAGTTGTCATGGAATAAAATACCGTACAGACTTTAATATCAGAAACTAAAGTATAGATTGCAATCCAAATCCACTGTGTAAAATATTTTTGCATAAAAGTCAGTCTACAATGGAGAAAACATTACACATGCCCAGCGGGCATGTGAATCTTCATTTTTTACATGCCCGCCCGCAATTTTACCAGGTCCCGGGCATCAGACTTCCGGGTTATTTCGAAGACTGATGGCAGGTGTGACTGGTCAACTTACTTCTCCTAGGCACCTGATCCCACCTCTGGAATTTCCGGGGGTTCGTGTTTTATATCCTTTTCACAGATTTGTATTGTCTGTAGATTTTCTTGAGATCGATTCCGTTCCCTATCTTCACCTTTTTCTGGTACGTTGTCTTGAATCTCCCCCCCCCCCTCTTTTAAAAAAAACAATGATGCTGCAAGTATATTTGCGCCAGTTCCAGAAAAAAAATAAGATTTGTTGAGATCTCAGGAAAATAGGGGCCGTAACAGAGGATTAACATTTGATTAAAGAAAAAGAAAAATGAAAGCTTATAGAGATAATTTGAATGGTTTTAAAATCCGCATGAAAGATTTAAAAATTTCTGAAGAAATAAATATTCAACATCAAATATTTATGCAATTTTGTAAATCGTTTTATGTCTTCTGATTTTAAAATATGTCAAATTGAATTTGTTTCATGGCAAGATTGTTTAGATTGAAACTATTTTGCGTTGAGTAAAGTAATCGAACTTTAAGAAAATTAGTCCTATCATAGAAAGTTGTGAAACTTCAAACAATAAATTGAGTTCTGACCATATAAATTTGCCTGAAATGAATACTTTAAGCATTCGAAATGTTACCTTAGAAAAGACTTCTAGTTGTAAAAAATGAAGATAACAAACAGTGATCGATGTCAAAAAAAAGAAAGAAAGCAAAACGTTTTTTTTCTTTTTTGCCATAACTTCAAATTGGGCTTCAAACATGTTCAACGGAGGATGAAAAAAAGAGAGACAAAGCATATAAAACTGGAAAAAAAACTGAATACAGAGAGAAATAAGATAAAATCAACAGAAAAGGTGGAGGATCAATGAAAAATTTTGCCGCAAATTGATAATGTTGACTGAATGCTACATTACATGTATTACTTTCCTCCTTCAATTCAAAATTATTTCCAGTATTACCAACAACGTTTCACAATCTTCCTTGATATTAAAATAAATTTAATGAAAATCATGTCAAAATGTTTGGTATGAATTAAAAATCTATCTATAAAAGAAAAAGACGAGATTAAAAAAAAATCTTTTCAGAAGTTTGTCTATTTAATATGTTAATGTCATGAAAAGCAGTTCCTATTAACAATTATGTAATTCATGCGACTGGGAATAAATGGCGTTCGACTTCATATCTAGCCGTTCGACTTGTGGTCGAATGTGTTCGACTTACGATCTATTTGGTATCTCGGGCTTTTTCTTTTAATAACAATTGTTTCATTCAGTTGCCACAGTAAACAACACGCTAAAATGACGCTTTAGGCACACATTTCGATACATCTCTGGGTTTATGGCACGCATAATGTACCCTGTTGTCAACACTGTCGGTGAATATAGATAGGCGTTCGACTTGCGATCAGTTTACCCTATAGTTACCTACAGTTAAATTGATCTTTTATGTATGCCAGAGATACATGTATGTAAAGTTACCTACAGGTAAATCAATCTTCAATGTAGATATAGTTACCTACACTTTAATTGATCTTTCATATATGCCAGAGATATATATAGTAACTTACTCACAGAGATACTTTATAGTATGTAACATGAACATGGCCTATATTTCTAAATATATTTTTAATTCCTTTTTACCTCCTAAAGTAACTCTACTGTTTCTGACAGATTGTGGAGAAGAGATGGCAAATCCCTGAGGACTTTCTTGACAACAGTGTTATAAATCCTAAGACAAGAGCAGTGCTGATGGACTGGTTCATACAGGTCCAGGTAAGTCACACCTGAGAACTGAGTGCTGATGGACTGGTTCATACAGGTCCAGGTAAGGTCACACCTGAGTACTGATGGACTGATTCATACAGGTCCAGGTAAGGACACACCTGAGAACTGAATGCTGCAGGACTGGTTCATAGAAGTCCAGGTAAAGTCACACCTGAGAACTAAGTACTGATGGACTGATTTATACAGGTCCAGGTAAGGACACACCTGAGAAATGAGTGCTGATGGACTGGTTCATAGAAGTCCAGGTAAGGTCACACCTGAGAACTGAGTGTTGATGGATTGATTCATACAGGTCCAGATAAGGTCTCACCTGACAATTGAGTGCTGATGGACTGGTTCATAAAGGTCCAGGTGAGTTACACATGAGAACTGAGTGCTGATGGACTGGTTCGTACAGGTTCAGGTAAGGTCCGCCTGAGAACTGAGTACTGATGGACTGGTTCATACAGGTCCAGGTAAGGTCACACCTGAGAACTGAGTACTGATGGACTGGTTCATACAGGTCCAGGTAAGGTCACACCTGAGAACTGAGTACTGATGGACTGGTTCATACAGGTCCAGGTAAGGTCACACCTGAGAACTGAGTACTGATGGACTGGTTCATACAGGTCCAGGTTAGGTCACACCTGAGAACTGAGTACTGATGGACTGGTTCATATAGGTCCAGGTAAGGTCACACCTGAGAACTGAGTACTGATGGACTGGTTCATACAGGTCCAGGTAAGGTCACACCTGAGAATTGAGTGCTGATGGACTGGTTCATACAGGTCCAGGTACGGGCACACCTGAGAACTGAGTGCTGATGGACTGGTTCATACAGTTCCAGGTAAGGTCTCACCTGAGAAATGAGTGCTGATGGACTGGTTCATACAGGTCCAGGTAAGTTCTCACCTGAGAACTGAGTACGGATGGACTGGTTCATACAGTTCCAGGTAAGGTCTCGCCTGAGAACTGATGGACTGGTTCGTACAGGTCCATGTAAGGTAATACCTGAGAACTAAGTGCTGATGGACTGGTTCATACATCTCCAGGTAAGGAAATTTATCCTCAAAAATGAAATAGTTATAGATGATAACTGACTTACAGAGATTTGTTAAAACATTACTGATATGAAATATAGTAGCACTTTCTGTTACTTGGTCTTGATAGCTTTTGTCATTTAACAATACCCAGTGAAATAGGACTGAGCAGCAGCTCTAAGATTGTAATTTTGATGTTTGAAATTTAAAAAAAAAATGACAGTGTATTATGAATTCTGTGGGTTTTTTTTTCATATTCACAATATTCTATAATGGAAAAATATTAACTTGTCTGATCGGACAAGTGTGTCTAGAGGTTGACTCGTCTGATCACAAAATGATCTGGTCAAGGACAATTGGACAAAGTTTAATCATTAATGTTGAGCATTGCCTTCCATCTATATTCAGTAGTATCCCTGTGTTTGTATTGTGTATTTATTTGACCAGGTTTATTTTTAGGTTTACCTGGAACTACTGGACACTACTTTACATCTGTCAGTGGTTCTGGTTGACCGATTCCTCAGTGTCCAGAAGGTCACCCCCAGCTCACTACAGCTGCTCGGTATTACCTGTATCCTCATAGCAGCCAAGTATTATGAAAGATTTCCTCCTCAGGTAATCATTAACATATTTAGTCCTTTTTAGCTCACCTCAACAATTTTGGGGGGGGGGGGGGGAGATCATATAATACCTTTGGTGTCGGCATCCCAAGTTTAAGTTTTGGAGCAGATTTCTTTTCAAGTACTACTATGCCCTATATTAAACAGATGCATGGAGGATGCTTCTAGTATGTTTCATTGCACCAGTCAGGGTATCTGATGCTGCAATTTCAGCTACAGAATGACCAGGTAAAATGTTTTTGGGGCAGATTGAAGTTTTTGGAGCAGGTTTCATTTCCAAGTAACTATAGGCCCTGTATTAACAAATCTTGGATGATACATCTTAGGATGCACATTACCAAGCTTGCTTCGGATGCCAGATCTGACCTACAATTTCAGGATGAGTGACCAGGTTAAAGTTTTTGGAGCAGGTTCATTCTAAAGAACAATAAGCCCTATGTTGACCAAACTTGCATGAATGATATATCTAGGGATGCACACTACTTGACGTACTTCAGATGCAGGATTTGACCTACATTTACTGGATGAGTGACCAGTTTATAGCATTTGGAGCAGGTTCACTCTAAAGTGACTATAAGCCTTATGCTAACCAACTTTGGATTGAAGATACATTTATTGATGCACACTACCACAGTTGCTTTGGATGCAGGATTTGACCTACATTTTCCGGATGAGTTTTTGAAGCAGGTCTGTTACCAAGAAACTAGAAGGCCTATCTGAACCAAACATTTATGGATGATGCATCAAGAGATGCTGGATTTGACCTACATTTTCCAAATGAATGATCAGGTTAAAGTTTATGAGCAGGTTCATTACAGTGTAACTTCAAGCTCTACCCAGACTTAATTTGCATGGATGATGCATCAAGAGATGAAAATGCTTAAACTTGCTTCAGATGGTAGATTTGACCTATATTTTCTGGGTGAGTGACTAGTTTAAGGTTTTTAGAACAAGTCCATTCCCAAGGAAATGCAAGCCCTATCAGACTGATATTGCATATTACATTACATATTACAATTAAATAACACTTCTAGATTATAAATTAAGTGTGGGACTTTGCTTTACTTAAAGATAACATTCATTGAGGTGAGCTCTGTAATCTTTGATTAACCTATGTTTTCTCCTTTATAAGACTATATTCATAATGTCTGTGCACTCAATTTACAGGTGTCTGACCTGGTATACCTGACAGACAATACCTATAAGGTGAAGCAGTTGTTTACCATGGAGAGGATTGTACTGATGAAGTTCAACTTTGACCTCAACTCCACAGACCCAGTGTCAACTATGGAACATTTCCTACAGATATCTGCAGCAGACAGAATGGTAATTATATCAGTGGTCTTTGTGTACTGATGTTTTAAATATTTATCCGGGTTTATAGTGATCATCATGTCCATCATCTGTCCTTCCCTTACCCATTCAATCCTTTTATCACTCTTGTGTTTAGCTCACTTTCAGAGAAGAAATGTTTAAGATATATTCCTCAAATTTCCTTCACTTGTACATATTGGTGAAAGCAATTTAATAGTACTTTAATAGTCTAACCTTGGCTTTCCACTTCACCTTGTATTTCACTCACATATTGATGAGAGCAATTCATCTGTGTCCTAATTTTATTACCTTGACCTTCCTTATGGCCTTGACCTTCATTATGACCTTGAACTTCACTATTCAAGATGTTTTTACTAAAACCTCATTCAAAGATGCATTTTGATGACAACAGTTCAAGTGTGTTTTAATTTTCTGACTTGAACTTTTAGACCAAGGACATTGCCAAATATATTTTGGACCTGACAATTACCAGTCACAAGTTTGCCTGTGTTTTACCCACTGTACTAGCTGCTGCCAGTGTTTACACGTCTAGACAGATCTGTGTCCCAGACAAAGTGTGGACCCACGGACTGGAGCACTTCTCAGGATACAACAGTAAAGACCTGATGGATTGTTCTATAGACATGATGAGGATGCTGATAAAGGCTCCCAGTGCTAAATTACAGGTAAGCTGGTATCAATGGCCTATGTCAAACATGCATTGAAAACAATTAAGTGAGATTTAGAGACAGCATTAGGTCTGAGTATGGCCAACCTAGTATTTTGATTTCAATAAGTAGTGTTGCCATGCTTTCAACCATACTCAGAAATAGGGAAAATCGGTGAAAATCTCTTGAAATGCAAGTTGTAAATTTTTTGTAGAGAAGAGCATTTGATAAGAAATTTTACATTAATGATATTATTGTTTATTTTGTACGACAAGCGATTGAAGATAGAGAAAATATTTATTATTGACTAATGTTGAATACAAATGGAAAGACTATCTCCATGTTGGTGTAAATAATAATTTACTGATCTGAAGAAATTAACATAGCCAGGTAATGTTCAACAGAATGAATTTAACACTCTCCTTGTTATAATATTTACATTTACTGATCTCTTTCTAGGCTAAGCTAATTTATTGTAATTTTTATTTATGAGTGGCTTGTGTACTGTCATCTTTGGTGATAGAATTTGAATAAAAATGAAATCTTATTGAAATTTAGGTTTGTATGTACATGTATCACAGATTCTAAATTTTTCTAAGTATTATTGTCATGCTTTCAACTATACTCAGAAATAGGAAAAATCTGCGAAAACATCTCAAAATGTATTTTGTAAAATTTTGGTTAGATTTTCAAAAAAACTTACATGACTTTGGATTAAGATTGTAAAGTTCTTTTCAAATGCTATGCCTACTACAAAATTTATTTGATTTCCATAAATATGGTAAACTACAGGTTTAGTAAATATCAGATTCAGTATTCTGTGAATGTAAAACTCAACTAAGAAATTTAACACCATTGCCATCTTGGAAAACATAGGGGTATTTACATGTTTATGTGATATTTTATTGAAGGGAGCCAGGAAAAAGCATGCAGCCTTTACCTTCAATGAGATCAGTCACAACAAGTTGTTAGAAACCAGACCGGCCGAGATTCTGAAATCTATGGGAGAAGATGTAGAGAAGTGAATCAAAAGGAATATTTACTTTGTGCAATATTGTCTACTCTACTGATACCCAAATGGTGCTGTTTTTGTTAATTATTTATTACAATATATAATCACTTTTTGTACAAATACTCAAATTTTGAGAAATATTGAAATGTGCTATTGCACTAATGTGTGCTGTTGCTCCAGTGTGTGCTATTGCACTAGTTAATGTATGCTTTTGTACCTATGTGTGTGCTATTGCACTTATGTGTGCTATTGCAATAATGTACAGTAAAACTCCTTAAGTTTGAACATGGATATAGCAATTTATGGATAAAGTGAAGTTTCTGGGAATCCCTGGCAAAATTCTTAACAAATCCTTGTAAAATTTTATGGATAACAAACTCAAGATATAGCGAATTTATGAATATAGCCAACTGATTTGTGTCCCCTAGATTTTAATTTTACATCTTTTATAACAAATTTTCAAAAATCTCAATTTTTAGGTCACCTGAGTCACTCAGGTGACCTATTGCTATCCGTTTTTGTATGTTGTGCATCGTGTGTTAACATTTGAACATTTTTAGCTTCTTCTCTGAAACCGATTAACCAATTTTGGCATATAGCATCTATGGGTGAAGGGGAACATAAATTGTGAATGTCATTCTCCATGCCCCCGTGGTGCCTGAGGGGTGGGGCTAAAACCACCAAAATTAATGCAATCTTTAAAAATCTTCTTCTTTACTCCTGGACATCAAGCAGTCAAACTGTTGGCATGATTGTAATAAGCACTGAGCCCTCTACCAAAATTGTGAAATTCATGGCCCCAGGGTCAGGGGTTCTGGTGCTAGGGTGGGGCTATATAGATCATATAGTGAAAGTGCATTATTTCTTTGAAAATCTTTTTCTCTGCTCGTGGGTATTAGATAAACTAAATAAGTACATAGTTATCAAGAGCAAGAGTGCCTCTTCCAAAATTGTGAATTTCATGGCCCCAGGGTCAAGGGTACTGGTGCTAGGGCGGGGCTCTATTGATTATATAGTGAGAATGCATTAATTCTTTGAAAATCTTCTTTTCTGCTCCTGGGTATTAAATAAACTAACTAAGTAAATAGTTATGATGAGCAAGAGTGCCTCTTCCAAAATTGTGATTAGAATTTCATGGCCCCAGGGTCAGGAGTTCTGGTGCTAGGGTGGGGCTATATAGACCATATAGTGAAAATGCATTAATTCTTTTAAAAACTTCTCTGCTCCTGGGTATTAAATAAAGTAACTAAGTACATAGTTATGATGAGCAAGAGTGCCTCTTCCAAAATTATGACTTTCATGGCCCCTGGCCAGGGGTTCTGGTGCTAGGGTGGGGCTATATAGATCATATAGTGAAAATGCATTAATTCTTTGAAAATCTTCTTCTTTGCTCCTGGGTATTAAATAAAGTAACTAAGTACATAGTTATGATGAGCAAGAGTGCCTCTTCCAAAATTGTAAATTTCATGGCCCCCTGGTACAGGGGTTCTGGTGTTAGGGCGGGGCTCTATTGATTATGTAGGGAAAATGCATAAATTCCTTCAAAATCTTCTTCTCTGCTCCTGGGTATTATTCAAACAAAGGAAGTGTATGGTTATGATAAGGAAGAATGCCTCTTCCAAAATTGTGAAATTCATGGTCCCTGGGTCAGGGGTTCTGGTGAAGGGCGGATTGATTATATAAAGAAAATGCATAATTTCTTTCAAAACATTTTTTTCTACTACTGGTTATAAAGCAAAGAAACAAGTGTATAGTTATGATGAGCAAGGGTGCTTCTTCCAGAATTGTGAGTTCATGGCCCCTGGGTCAGATGTTCTGGTGTAAGGGTGGGGCTTATATGGTGAAAATGCAATTCTTTGAAAATCTTCTATGCCTCTGGGCATATTCGAGGCAAACAGAGTAAAATTTTAAATATGCAAAGGTATTTTTAACAGAATTTTGAACACCTGGACCATTTAGTCGAGTGTTCTGGTCCTGGCCAGGGCTCTATTAACTTGTATTCTGCTTAGCAAAGTTATACCCCTTTGCCATTCACCTTTGATAATTAATCACTGTAAACAATGTATTTGAAAGGTTAATAGAATACGAGAATTATGCAAGAATATTTATTGTATAATACACAAAGTACTTTTATAAGTTAATGATCAGGTAGACTTGAAAATAATAGATGAATAAAAATGAGACAAAAATAACTTATCTTTTTAAATGTTCTTCAAAGGCCAAGAGAGGCCAATGTGAGAAGTAATAATATGGGGTTAAAAAATAGACAGTTTGTTAATAGTCTGCATGGTAATAGTGATAAATGGGGGACAGATAGATACTAGACCAATTATTTTGTTGATGCTAATCATACTATTTTTCTTGCTTTTGGGCAACAAAGCTTCATTTATCAGTTTATGGATCCTCTAAATTGTTGTATTGTACTCAGGTGACCGTTAAAGCCCTTGGGCCTCTTGTTAAAATACTCATATGATATTATTCTGTTAAGTATTTGCATTTGAATCTCAGTTCATCTGAAAACTTTAGAACTCCAAGGTAACTTATGTATTTAATTCTTCCAAAAATTCTTTTTGTAGTTAGAAGGAAAAATCTATATTGCAAGTTTGCTATATATTATTTTAACGAATTCATTAATATATAGATATAACGAATTGCAAATATAGCAAAGTAAATTTGCAAGTCCACAGGACTTCACTATAACTGAGTTTTACTGTATGCTGTTCCACTAATGTGTGCTGTAGCATGCATTAGAAATGTGCAATTATTTTGCAGACATACAGGTACTTAATGTGTTACCTATTGACAGATAATCAATTGTACATAAACGTGCTCCTTTTTTAAGTCGCCTGAGTTACTCTGGTGAACTACTGCTATCTGTGTTTGTCTGTCGTCATCTGTTGTGTGTCATGCATTAACATTTGATATTTTCATCTTCATTGAAACTGCTTAACTAATGTCAGCCAATTTTGGCATATTGCATATGTTAAGGGGAAAAGAATCACATCTAGCTAAACAAAAAGAAAAATATAAGGAAAATATGACCATAAAAAATATACCTTTAAGTCCAATCCAGCTAGATACCAGAACGGAGAAGCATTGTTTCCTACAGTATTTGTTGCTGATATTGAAAACTTCTGGTGCTTTATTTCAATCAAGTGCAATTACACAGTGTTCAAAGTTTTTTTGTTGTTGTAAAATAAAATGGCTATGACATACATTGAATTTGTTGTTATTAATTATTTGATTCTGATCAGAGACCAGAAGTAAGATGTCTGTCTCGCCGTTTGTCCGTCTAGCTGTTTGTCTTTGTGTGTAAAGTTTTTTTTTCAAATTACTACTCCTCCTACAGTTTTGGTCTAATTTTGATCTAACTTGGTACACAAGTAGACTACACTGAAATACATAATTCTGTTGTATGAAGTGTGTTGCCATATGTACTAAAACTAGATATTTTAGTTGCTGGGAAATTCTTTCAAAATGGTACTCCTCCTACAATTTTGGTCTGTTTAAAAAACTTTTTACACAGGTAAACTACGCTAAAATATATATGTTTTTCATTTTTTGATTTTGATGAGCATTGCTATGGCAACTAAAAATAGAAACTTGTGAAATTGTTAAAACGCTTTTCTTTCTACAAGTTTACAAATTTAGTCTGATTTCATTCAAACTTTTCACACAAGTAGATTACACTGAGAAAACATAATTTGTACATTAATTTTGATTTGAAAAGTCTTTCCATGGTAGTGTAAATAGAAATTTTTGTGAAACCTCCTACAGTTTTTAATCGGATTGCAATAAAACTTGAGAGATGAAATCAAGGATCCTTATTCTGTTTACTGCTGTTGTCAAAGTTTCAAGTCCAAGTGCTACTTTTCTCTTCCTTTGTGATAAGTATTATACAGTACTATACAGTAGAGCTATAGTTTCAATTAGCCCCATGCAATTAAGGACGTGGTTGAACAGATAAAATGCTCCCATGTTCCGCAGAGGAGAAATGTAATCTTCTGCAGAACAAGGTTATAATTTATCACATTAACATGTCAACATTTTCATGTAGTGTGACAGGTCAAATGAAATAAAACTAGCTCAGTAAACTTTTCTGATCGCATATTGTTTGTTGTCTGTAAACTTTTAATATTTTCATTCTCTTCTCCACAACCACTAGACCAAAATCAGACAAACTCGCCACAAAGCATCCTTGGGGAAAAAGAGATTCAATCTTTCAAGGAGAGACAATTAAAAAAATAATGAAGATTTGGTGGGGTCATTTAAAAATCTCAAGACCCATGGGGCCACAAATGATGAATTCTTAACATACTGTAAGTTCATTTCTTTTCAAATAATGACCCCATGGGACAGGATGGGGCTTAAATGAGGAATTAAAATTTTATGTAGGAAAATCAAGGAATAAATCGAACAATCTACTCAAGAACAGCTAGACAATGATTAGCGGTATTTATTATTGCAGACATTGTTTGAATCATGGCCCCAAGGATGGGATGGGGCCACAAGAGGGAATCAAAGCTTGTATAAGAAAAATTTTTGTCAACAACAGCAGGGCAGTGACAGTTTACCTAACGTGCAAGCCTCCTCAGGTAGTGCAGATTCAAATTTGTTGATAACCATGGTTTCAGAGGGTCTGGTAGGGCAACACTAGAGGATCAACGTGTTACATGAGGGGGGGGGGTTAAAATTCTGTTCATCAATAGTAGTAGGGCTATAAGCAGTCATATTGATTCTAGTAGTAATGCAGAATCGAGCTTTCTCAAATCAAGGCCTCTGGAGGTATGATTTGGGCCACCATAGAAGATGTCAAACATTTACGGTGAAATATATTGGAAATTAATTCAAAAAATCTTTTCAAGATAGCAGGGTCACATTAAATCCTGTTAAAATTCTTTGGTCAAAATTATAGACTTTGGGCTTAAGATAGGGCTTACGGAAATTTTGCTGCAGGTACACAGGGAAAAATGTAAAGAAGAACATGCAGGGCCACGATGACTAAGATGACCCTCTTGTAAGGGATTTACTTATAAAAGGATAGAAAGTTTATTATAGAGAAATATATAGAAAAAAATTTGAAAATCATTCTGTTAAGAAAACAAGAGGCTGTTAAGCCACAATGCTCCCCTTAGTCACCTTGGCCCTTCAGAACATTTTTCTATGAAAACATTTGACCCACTACTGCAGCCTCCAATGGGTCAAAATTTCTACAAAATACAAAACCTGAGGATCCTGAATTAATTTGTCTTCTGGAGAAGACTTATTGTCAGTGTCCATAATTTAAACATACTAAAACCTACCCAACATAGGAATGTTTACATATTACTCAGAATAAAAAATATGATAAATTTTCCGTTGAAAAATCTGAACACCTGTTTCAGCATCAGAGGCCTATTAAAAGAGAAATATGATTTTTCATAACATAGGGATTCTAATGCCTATCAACATGAGTAAGAGTTGTGAAGGGTTTATTTTTACTTTATATTCCTTTAAAGTTTTTGTTCCACCTGAACCTAAGGGCAATGATTGAAATAATTTGATTCTGCTCTATTTGGAGATGCTTTCATATAAATATGATTTATACTGTGGGCCTATTGTTCTTTAAAAGATTTTCAAATATTCCCATGTAAAACTTTTATCCCCTATCGTATTCCCTCTCTGTTATCAAGGGTGATGGAATCTACGCTTGCACAATAATATAAATGATCATGATTCAGATGTCTTTGAGAAAGATTTTTTAAATCTTCAATTGTCTTTTACATTTTCCCATGTCACACTTTGATTCTCCTTCGTAACCAATCCTACCCCAAAAATCCATGATTTGACTTGGATATGCACTACATTCTGGTGTCTGCATAGTACTACATGTATGATGCCAGATCTGGTTTCAAACCATAAAGTTTGTTAAATAAAAATCAGCATATTCAAAATCTTACTGTTGATTTCAGCTTGTTCTCAGTTTACGGTCTTGGTGCTGGGGCACAATTTGTACCTTTAAAAGAAAATTTATTTCATAATGTTGTATTTTACCATAATGTTCTTACATGATCACATATGTTGCATGTCGACACATATTTCTTTCATGTTAACACAATCTAGAGAAACAGAAAAGTCTTATAATATAGAAATGTCACATATTATGTACCCGGATGACAGGATTACTTATTTATTTGATGGAAACGTTAGCTTCCCTCAGAAACATGTTATTCATAGTAAGAGATGTAGTAAGAATTTGCTAAAGTTGTATGCAGTTCAGTCAGAGATTATTAATCAGTAAGATTTTTATTAATTCAAGTCTAAAGGAAAAACACTTGAAGATTCTCAAATTAATTTTATTGTTATACCTTTAAAAATTGTTTCCCGTATAAATCTGTTCTGAAAAGTCCAACTTTTCCAATGTTATACTGAACTGTCAAAAAAAAAAAATAAATAAATCGATGCTGGGCTGCTGAATAAGATTTTGGACTTGTCGATGAGATATTGGACCGCTATAACGACACACTGTAGGAGGGATCTATAATATCTTTTTAATTATCGCAAAAATGGAAGCCAGGCCAAGATACATGTATGTCGAAATTAAAAGTGAAAGGTATAATATCATTGATGATCTTCTAGGGCAAAATGCGTTTTGGCGACCCCTTGAACCTAACTGTTTGCCTTAGGCCGTTTAGGATCTTGGGTCCGACAAAACGCATGTTTTCCTCGAACCCATGCAGTCTGTAAATGTATATATTTAATTTACCATGTTTAAAGAGAAGTGCATTTAACAGATCAGACATTTTTAATTAATGACATATTATTTATCTATTAATACGATTAACAATTGGAGATAAAATGAATTATTTTGAATACAAATAAAATACTATATCTCGATTTTGATGTAACTAAAAATATACTCATCTGGTTCGAGGGGGGAAAACTGCATACATGTAGCCAGGTACCATGTTCAACAAAACAAAATTGACACTTTCCTTGTTATAATATTTACTGACAAAGACTTTAATTACAGCTCAAATATGTCCCCTTTGTCTGTTTTATTTCGATAATTTTTGATTTTGAATAGGTTATGCGCTGTCTTATTTGGTAAAAAATGAAATCTTGCTGAAAACTGGGTTTGAATGCACCAATGTATTCGCTTGCATACACCTAGGAAATTAAGCAATTCAGGTTAAGTAAATAAAACTACGGGTTGATAAAAGTTTTTCGTTACCGATTCAAAAACGGCACATGAAGATAATTATACTTATATAAAGAGCATCGCTTTACTGGAGATTTTAAGATGTTAATGCCATCAATTCTCGTGTTATTGGTAACTTTTCATGGATTTTCTGCTGGTTTTCTAGCTAATCCTGGAGATGGAGATGAGATCATGGCAGAGATTTCACACCTCCGCCAAGCAATCCAGGAATTATCTACCCAGGTAAAGTCTTCCTGTGGGTGTGCTTCTACCTTAAAACCTCGTTGTCCTGACGGTTGGGAGATGTTTGACAGTTCCTGTTATTATTTTGGTGTTGTTCCGAAAGCATGGCAGGATGCAGAGGTCGCCTGTGAAAGACTCGGCGGCCATCTTGCAACCGTTCATTCTTCAGAGGAAGAACAATTTATCCTGGATTACGTACTCCGCGAGAGGAAAGCCTTGGTGGACATGTCACATGGTTATACTTGGCTCGGGGGACACGACTTCTTACAGGAAGGCAATTGGATGTGGATAACAGATGAGGTGTTTAACTATACAAACTGGAGAGTGACGAATCCGGCCAGCAATCAAGCGGAGGATTGTATGGATTTGAGTGGTGGAGGGTGGAACGATAACACGTGTTCATATAAACTGAATTATGTCTGTGAAAGGAAGACTTTCTAAATGACGGATATTACTTAGAGAAATTCTTTTTATCATCTGAAATGAACAGGAATTGTATTTAAAAATTGTCCAGGGGATGCACTTGGAGACAAGTTATATGTACATAATGTCTTGTAATTCTATCTTGAAATGTATTTACACCTACACATATTTTGGTAAGGTTTGAGCAACAGGGAAGGAGTAATTTAAAAAGAAAATAATTTTTGATATTGATTGTTGTAACAAATTACATTTTTACAGTAATTGAAGTGATTTGAAATTGAGCAGATCTCAAATGCTTGTAATTTTATTTTAAATAAATGCACTGAAAAATACGTTGTAAGGAGATGGGTGAACATGACGAGCGATAAGCCTATAGTGTGACAAACATGAAGAAAAAAAATTACATTTCAATTCTATTAAAATTTTCCTTGATATTTCGTCTAACATTAAAATAGACTTTATGTACAATCTCTACAATTTGCAAAAATCCCTCAAAGATTGAAATTATTTGCCTGTGAAATATTAGACACACACTAAAGCGGGCAAAAAGAGTCATTTTCTCATACTATAACACTATTTTTCGATATGAGTGGGTCTTCGCTCCACCTTTTTGAAAGTTAATCCTCAAAGTTTGCATAAAAATATTCATTTTTTGGTTATCAAAAATATGGAGCAATGACCCACTATACCTTAAAAATATACTTTTATGACATATTATTCACATATTTTCGAGAAATACTTGAAGTCCATTAAGTCAAGGGTCATATCACAAACATGATTTAAATGCCACTATTTGTCAGGACTTGTGTAGTCCAGTGGTTAGCGTGCTAGTCTCGAAAGAAAATGATACTTAGGATTTTTATTGCTAGGGTTCGAACCCCACGAATAACACATTAATTTTTTTTAATAAAAGAATAAATTTTGCCGAGAAAATTTTCCTCAAAAAAGTTTTGTTAATCACAATTTCATAAATTTCAATAATGAGAACTTTACTCTAAATATTAAATTCCCAGCTAGCACAAAAACATTTTTAAAATGTTTTTAAAACATTTCCAAAATGTTACAAAAACATTTTCAAAAATGTTTTAATCACGTGATTTTGTATGTTTTTTTAAACGTTTTTAAAACATTTCAGCAAATAGTTTCAGCAAATGTTATCAGAACATTTAATTAAAATGTTACAAAAACATTTTTCAAAAATGTTTTAATCACGTGATTTTGTATGTTTTTTTTTTAAACGTTTTTAAAACATTTTAGCAAAATATTTTAGCAAATGTTATCAGAACATTTAATTAAAATGTTACAAAAACATTTTCCAAAAATGTTTTAATCACGTGATTTTGTATGGTTTTTTTTAAACGTTTTTAAAACATTTTACCCAAATGTTTCAGCAAATGTTACCAGAATATTTTCCTAAAATGTTACAAGAACATTATTGCAAATGTTTTATTCACGTGATTTTGTATGGTTTTTAAAACGTGTTTAAAACATTTTACCCAAATGTCGCTATGGCATCTCTTTCCTGAAATGTCAATAGACGTTTTCAAGAATGACATGAGAACATCATTTTGTACGATTTTAAGAGCGCTTTTAATACATTTCATCTTAATTATAACTCTCAAAGAATAAATGACAACTGAATGAATTCATTTTTTTCTTACAAATTTTAATACAAACCCTTATGCAATATGCAAAACACATTTTAGTTCCATTTCCAGTGCAAGTTCTGAGTTATATTGTTTTAACCCAACAGGTATTTTTAAAGAATAAAAATCCATTCACTGAATTTAAAAACAACAGAATCACACAAATCCTTCCCATAAAAAGAATACGATCCCGCAAGAAGCATGTACATGTATCTACATGTATATGTGTAGGTTCCACAGAGCTGATATGTAAATGGAATCGCACACAAAAACTTCACAAGAAGTCTGTCCTCGGAAAGAATTCAACAAGTCGCTCGATCTTTTCAGTAAAGCAGAACCTGTAAACATGGAGACAATAGTGTTTAAGTCATCCGTCTACTTCAGATCTTTAAATGATGAAAATATAAAAGAACAGTTTTTAATTAAATCATAAAATCACAAGAACTTTTCCCATTTGCATTATGAAAAGAATTAAAGTTGTTGCTTGTTCATAACTATAACACAATAATATTATTAAAGAGCAATGATATTTACGTACAAAAAAGTGCCTTTGTCTTTGTCAGCTAGAGGCGGTTCTTTCAAATGTGGCAATTTGAATGGAATTCAAGTCTGTTGCTGGAACTGTCATCTAACTGCAATATGATTTCATGTTTCAATAATAAGATATTTTGAATTAAGCTCAACATAAGATAAGGAGGTATATTTGTTGTTGAATAAAGTATTTAATTCAAATACATAATAGCTTTGTCTTTGCTACACATATGCATACAAGAATACAATGATGTAACATAAAGGTTATTTTTAAAAAGTATCTTTTGAAATCTCTGATTAAAGTATACTCACAATGCAGATGTTAATAATCCATGCAGCGCTCATTCTCCAGGCCTATATGATGCAAAAATCTTGTTTGAAAATCAGCGACAAGAAAACGCGCACATCCTGTTTACCAGAATTCAAATTTTGGCCTAGATAAGCTGCAAACCACTATACTCTATAACGCGCTGCCCAGCAGGAGAATTGCATAACAAGGTTATCTTGACACTGAAACTGACCAGTGAAGCCACTCCTAATCTGCTGCCTTGGATTTTAAGAAATATGATGCAAACAGGCGAGACCATCATAATTCAGGCTGTGTTAATTATTGTAAACAGTTTGTTTATTATTTTGTTTTCTTTTTAAAATTAAAGTATCTTAAATTCATTCAATGAACTTTGTATTGATTACAAATCTGTGAACTCAATAAGACTTTAAAAAAAAAATGTATCATTGAAAAAAGAAAGAAAATACCGGGATACGCAAGTGATCGAGTTGCAGTAATATTAATGTCTTTAGAAAGTTTTTAAAAGCAATTTTTCATTTAATCCCAATCTTCTCTGGATATTCTATGCATTTTTTTTCTCAGACAATTGGCTTAGTCGTGAATATTTTCAAAACATTTTGAAAATTACATTATATAAATACTGCATGTAGTTGAGTGTAACATTGAAAATTTTCACCCCAAGAAAACCATTGTCAACCGAGGCGCAGCCGAGGTTGACAATGGTTTTCGAGGGGTGAAAATTTTCAATGTTACACTCAACTACATGCGGTATTTATTATATTATACTGAATGTTTTATACAAATACATATTACAGTGAACCTTGCGCGCATGAATTCTGCGCAGTCAATATTTTTTGGAATAACACCCGTCGTCAAGCAATGTTAACTGTTGCTACGCTGGTGGGCGTGGCTTCAATATTCAGCGGGTAATAGTGTTTTTTAACAAATGCTTCTCGGCGAATCAGATTAAACTAATTTACATGAAAGTATAATATTACAAAATGTTGCATTATTGCTAAATAAAATGTTATAGTCTTTAGAAGAATAAACGTTAGAGTTAATGTTCTAAAAACATTTTTACAACATAATTTGAAAATAAATAAATGCATTAATATTGAAAATGAAATAAATGTTTTAAAAACATTTTGAAAATGTTTCAATAAAATGTTGCATAAATCATAAATAAAATGTTTCAGTTGTAGGAGGAGAACACGTTTTGTTAAATGTTTTAAAAACATTTTCACGACCAACACCTGAAAACATTTAAATATGATACTATAAGGAGTATGTAGAATGTTTTAAAAACATTTTGACGACGTTCCTTCAAAATGTTTTAGAAAAGAAACATTACAATGTTACAGATTTATAGAAGAGGAACGTTTTATATCATGTTTTAAAAACATTTTTATAACGTAATATGAAACTGTTTAATATATGCAAACAAACCATACCTTTCAAATCATTTTTAAAACGTTTCAAAAACATTTTATAGAAATGTTCCTTAAAGATTTTACCTTAACCATTTTGAAAACATTTTTAAAATGTTTTTAAAATGTTACAATGGGAAAGAAAAATGTTTTAAAAACATTTTAAAAATGTTTACTCTGAAATGTTTTGAAAAAACCTTTCTATAACTGCAGTAAAATGTTTTGAAAGTGTTTTGTGCTACCTGGGTTCACAATTGAACATGATTTTTATACTTCTGAAGCTATAGACTTTTTGCACGCTATGTTCGCCCATCTCCTTTCCTTTACTTTTCAATTACATTTCAGTTATTTTACATAAATCAGATACACGTACGCGCGTTTTAATAGGAAAATATTTCAATCACAGTTTTTTGTTTTGAACATATATTTTTGTATAATTCATACAAAGGGACTGGTTACAAATTCTAACAGCATAGGAAAATCTTTCCCTGGAGGAGTGAGCATGTATAAATCATCATAAAATAAATAAATAAACTTCTCAAATTAGAAATATTCAAAATTTAACCTCCATGATAAACATAGAAATAAATTAATCAAAATCTACCCGAATCTCGAATAAACTGTTGATCACTGTAAAATATATTATTATTTACATCAACAGAGAAGGGGTCATTTACGAATAATGAAAGATGAGTATTGCCTATTGTCAAACGGTTATATTGTAGAGTATTGTTTAATAGGTCATTTCTTGACCGTTTATATTTCTTAACTGCAAAAAAAAAAAAAAAAAAAAAAGGATATACATTTTCAATTTGTCTGCATGAACAGTTAGGTGAATGAAATAAATGGAGATAACGAACAGTATTCAAGCTCAAAAGTCTATTAAACAATACAAAATGGGAGCAGAGCAAACACAGACCTCTAAACATCAGAGGTGGGATGAGGTGCCATGGAGGAGTGAGCATCCCCTGCCGACCGGTCACACCCGCCGTGTGCTCCTTGTCATGATCGGGAAATAACGGAAAAATCCGTCGACAATTCAGTGTGTAAATAATGGCCTAACAATTAGTATGAAAAACGTCAGTCAGCATTTGACTCAATGATAAATTGTATTTGCTGACAAGGTCATTGTATCGACC